GAATTCAGTCTTGTTTCTGGAGACGTCTCAAGTCATGTGAACGCTATTTTTTTGTAGTTATGGCTGCTCTTACACTCTGATCTTATCTTTCTCTGATTAATTCATGTTCTTAGAGTATTGAATTACTAACTATGAGTAGAAGAATAGCAATCATTTCTTTTTTTGAATTAACACTGAAGAGTATAAAATTGTACACCAAAACCAGACTATAAATAGAAGTCTGGTATTTCAGTGTACTTCCTTATCATATCTCAATTTAATTCCTGTTGCCTAAGTTTAAGAATTACAGATTAAGGGGAAAGTCATCCCAAGTTTGCATAAGTTTATTTTTAAAAATTTCTTCCAATATTAAAATTAAAAACTAGAACTTAAATAGCTGAAATTATAGAGTAGTTCATTGGATGTGTCATATTAGCTAATATCTGACTAAGATGATGTGCAGTTGACTTAGAACTTCTATAGAGCAATACTAATACACTGATATTCCTAAATCAGGAACAAGATAGTTTTTACAAAATCATAGGCAAGTTAAAGAGGTTGGAAAGCACTTAAAGAGGTCTTTTTTAAAATGGGGTCAGACCACATTGTTGAGGGATTTAACCAGTCTAGGTTGAAAATCTGAAGAATGAGGCTACACAAGCTTCTCTGGGAAACCTGCTCCAATGCTTGACTATCCTCATGGTGAAAAGATTTGGCTTTATACCTATTTGTAGCCTTTTTTTGTTTCAAGACTTGATTGAAAACTGATTTGAGCCTTTGGATAGATGGTAGCATTACACATAAACTATCACACTGTTATTTATTCATATGAAAGGACTTAAGTTACTACCTAACATAAGTAATCAAGCTGTGACAGATGTCATCAAGTTTTATTATAAAATGTGGGTTTCCACTTCTTAACTGAATAACTTAGCAGAAACAGCAGTTTCCAAAAATCTGTAAGTAGCTATGAGCATACCCTACAGTTCTACTGATCACATCTGCCATAAGAAACCTGCCAAAAATTCTAGAAATCAATGGATCTGTCAAGAATGGAGAACTGCTTTTTCAATCCTTTATTTATAACCAAGTAAAGCATTTGACTATAGCCCTCTCCCTGCTGGGATCTTCTGTCACTAGAAAAAATCTGCAGCTGACCTTTAAGCCTCTGTCTGATGAAAAGGCCATATTATGCCTTACTGATATGCTAGCAGATGAGCCCACTGAAAAATGCTTGAGCTGAAGGACATCTCTGCTTTTTGAGAGCTATCACAGAGCAAAATGAGGAATTTTCATCTGAGATACAGATTTGTTATGCCATTCAATCAAACATTTCTTTCCCACTTAACAATATGGATAAAGAATGTCAAATACAGGATATTTTGCAGAACTATTGAATATAACTTCCCTAAATCATTATGCAGCCAGAATGAAACACAAAAACAGAAACTTGAAGGCTGAGAAATTTTCCCATATTCTGAAATACAGCATTTTGGAATATCTACAATTAAAGGACAAACTATTGTATTTGATCCAAGTACAAATGTCACTTGCAGCAAAGATCAGCATTGCTAATCCCTACTTATTTTTGTCAATTCATTTAGACTGAAAAAAACTGGAAACATCTGTGAAAACTTGGTCTTTTTATTCTATCAAAGTAATGGTAAAAGGATATGGTACAGAGAACCCTTCAGCTATCCATAAGAAAGATGAAATCTCTTAGTAATAGCAATTCTTTTTTTTTTTTTTTTAAATAAAGAAATGATAAGAGATCTCAATGAAGATTAAATGGGAACATAGTTAAATTGTAAGTCTAAATGACTAACATACAAATAAAATAAAATGAAAGGGCAGTCATCCAGATATTTCACAAGTCTCTGAAGTGACTAGGAAGTTTGGAAAAAAACCTAAAAAACCCCAAAGATGGGATACACACCCATACTCTCTGTTAGTTGTTTTATTCTCTGAAAAAATTACTGTATAAACACATAATCAACTCCCTTGTAAAATATTTCTATGGATGTTTTCTGGAAGCTTGCATCCAAGGCAGAAAACCTCTGGCTGATAAAGCAGCATTTAGATCCAGAAAAGTTTATAAAAAAAAGAATTTATTATTCATGCTTTATATAAGAACTGCTCCAAATCATATAAGGCTAAAATAAGATTAAACAGTTTTGTCTGAAGACAGGCCTTAGATAGAATCACTTAGTATGACCAGATTTTATTTATTTGTAACCTATAGACCCCACAAGAAGCAGTATACACACACACACACACACACACACACACACATATATATATATATATATATATATACTTGGAGGCATTGGATGCTTTGAGTTATTGCAACACTATCTGGAGAACATGAAGAACAGCAGGCAAAACAAACAAATTCAAATCAACTGCTAAAATACCACATAGAAGAATAATTTAATCTAGAAATCTTAAAAAAAGAATTGGGAATAGTCAGAGCTCTGAATAGTATAAAAAAATTAATCTGTTTTAGTTTGATGTGAAATGTTTGATTTTGAAATTTGCATATTGAAAAAAAATGAGCTATTAAGAAGTCATTGTTTTCACACTGAAATATTGTGAAAGGCTACTATATGTTATCCTTGTATAAGGTATGACTAATGAGAAGAAAATATTCCATATTTTCTCCATAACAGGAGATATTATGAATTAAATCAGAGCAGACAGAGAAAACTTCAGTTTCAAAACTTATGTGTCAGGTGGGGCAGATTTTGAAGTGAAGATGTGCAGGGAATTATGCCAAATATGCGAGAGTTTAGGGAACATGTGGTAGCTGTGGTTTAATGATGGCTGATGGACGTGGTAGTGACATATTTATCAGCCTGTGTAACTCCTAGTAAAAATGCAGTAAGGTTTGCCTTACTTGTACTTTCTTGTATTTACCATCAATTGTCATGCTATTCCAGAGTTTTTTTGCAGTACAATGCAAAATGTTTAGTAGTTTAGACAGTTCAAGTAATGCAATGTAAGTATTTTTTGGTTTATATTTCTACATCTATATCTATATTTATGTGCACATTGGTCTGTAATGAGAGTCTGTGAGTTCATCAGGATTTTCATTTATTTTCTATCACAGGCTGTGCATCTCTTCTAGAAGCTTGAAGTCTGACCAACCTCTTAAGAAATTAATCATAAATCCACCTTTTGTTTTTGTTCAGACAGATGGATCTTTCCTAAAACCATATTAAAAAAGTAACATTAGCTATTCTGTTGCCTGTGTAACTGGTCCAACTTTGGGATGATCAGCTTTGGTGGATGTACACATGCTAATTTAAAAGCTCGTTTATGCAGTTAAACGCCATAGACATGGCATGCATTTACTTACATGGGCTTTATGCAGTGACAGGCTCCACAGTTTGAAAAACTTGTGATTTTATTTTACAGGGAATGACAGCAAGAAAGGTTACATGTATTTTACCTCAGCTCTTTTTAGAATTATGGAAAAGATTAATCCACAGTTCTCTAGTCCTCCAATAGGATGAATATTTGAATACTTCAGACCCTGATTTCAGGTGTCAGGACTAGAGGAAATGCTTTTTATTTTTGTAAAGCCCTCCTGAGGGCTGGATGTTAAGTTGGCAATAGAAATTGTCACACCTTCATCAGCTGAACCGTTTTGCATCTGAGAAAATTTTGATGTCTCTAAGCCTTAAAAAAATTCTGCTGCAATAGCAGCCGAAATTACAAATTTGCCTAATCTGGGGAAGAAGGAATTGGTGTTTTACTTAAGGTGTTGAATCTTTCATTCTGTATATTTGAAGATGGTTGCAGACATGTTTGTTCTCAGGTATGGAAAGTAGTTTAACAGTCCTTGAAAGAAATCATGCATCTCTTGCAAAAAAACAGTGTTTGAACATGTCAGAGTTTTGTTTACATGCAGACAAGCAACATTCAAATCAACATTTCTCAGAGTTAGGACCACCCTGCCTCCTCCAATAGAAGCCAGTGACTTGTAGTTTCTTTCATATTTAAAGATTTATTATTAAAATAGCCTCTGGAAATAAATTTTGAATTCTCTTCAAATTCTGCAGGGTTGTACTAATTCAGGCTGGGATGGAGTGACTTTTCCCTATGGCACCCTCATTTTTCCAGGCTGTGTGTTGGTGCTGGAAAGGTGTTGATAACACACCAGTGTTTGTCTACTGCTGAGAGGTGCTGGAGCAGCACCAAAGCTGACTCTGCAGCACTGTCCCCCCTCCAAAGGACAGTAGGCTGAGTCATGGGCAAGAGATTGGGAAGGAGCACAGCCAGAACACCTGATCCAAGATGAGCAAAGGGATGTTCCATACCATATGGCACCTGTTCAGCAATAAAAGCTGCATTTGTCTTCTGGAGTACTAAAACCCTACTTGCCAGAGTGTGGCTGGTCATCACCTGCTGGTGGGAAGTAGTGAATAAAATCACTTGCTTTACCTCTGCTTCCATGCATGACCTTTGTTGTGTCTTTATTAAACTGCTTTCACCTTGACCCACAAGTTCTTTTTTCATCTTTTTTTCTCCCCACCCATGCTGCTGAGGAGTGATAAAGCAGCTTGGTGGGCCCTTGGTTGTCAGCCAAGGTCAACTACCACAAGGGATAAAAAATGATCTAATATGTTCCAGCTGGAGCAACCTCATCACGATCAGTAGAGAAAGTGAACTGAAAAGAGGATGATTTTCCTTTCTTTGTGCCACTACCCTCCCCCTCCCCCCCCAATAAACCTCTTCTTTTGGAAATCACAGAAAACAGAACCTTATATTTTCCAAGTTACCTACTAGACAAAACTATTTCCCAAAACATAACCTCTTCTCCTCACACCCACATAACACAGTCACCATCCAAAATATATCTTCTCTTTTAACACCTTGATTAGGTAGGATAAATTAACTCTTCCTTAGTCCTAGATTTTTTTGGGAGATCCTCTTTATCCACACCTCAGCAGTTTCTTACGACTTAGTTAAGGACTTAGTTTAGTCCTTAGTTTAAGGACTTAGTTTAAGGACTTAAAGTTAACTTAAATATCTTCACATACTTTTCTCTTGTAGTTCTGTCTTGCAGTACTTAACCATATTCTCTAATAAACAACTTCACAATTTATTTTTCTTCTTTTGTGTACACGTGTCTGTCACATTTTGATATCCCACATTTCAGCTGTAGAACCTGCAAAAGCCCAAAGTGAACGTAAATATTAACCCTTCTAATTCAGGAGTTAGATTTCTTAAATCTTCGTGCATGTCTGCATCAAAGTACCTTGTGCAGTAAGGCAGGGATGATCTATTGATAGAATTGGCTCTGTATTATAAAATATAGAAATCTATGGAGTTTGACATATGGAAAAATGGTGTAGTAACAATTTCATGAGGAAAAAAAGCCTGAACACTTTTCTTGATATTTTTGTGATTGTCAGCTGTTTCTTTGGAAATAGTACCAATAGTACTATAGTACTATAATACTATAATAGTACTACCAGTACTGTAATACCTCTGAAAAGTGGAATGCTGAATTCACCCTCACTTTGAAAATATGAGAACCCTTGACAGCATGGACTGCATATTTAGTACAGCTATCAGTATAAAACCTCTATGAAAGAAAACAAATTTTCTTCTACTTCATTGTAATCTGCATATAGAAAGTTAAAACATCTTATTAGTTTTGATTCTGACATGTCCTTTTCCCTTATGTCTGAATACTGTTTCAGCTTTACATTTTCAAAGGGCTTGCTCTGAAGGTACAATTTTGTCATCAGCTATGCTCTCTCAGTTCAGCCTACTAATAGAGAAATGCTTTGATCCACAGAGATGACAACAGGCTTTACTCTTCTAGCCCATAAATTCAGAAAGTTCCAAGTCTACAAGCAGTCATAAATTAGATGCACATTTTAGTGTTTATGTAGGGAAGCAATTGTGTTTAGAGAATGAGATTAAGCAGAATGGTCACAGAAAACTGAATAGTAAATCCCATGCTCCCAGGAAAGCCCTAGATCTCTAAGACATGAAAACAGTGATCTGTCCAAAGCGGGGCTGTATTGAAGGTAAGAAATAATACTGCATGTTTTTTGGTAAAATATCATGTTTATAATAGTAAATTACCCTAGTGAGCTACTCAGTGGATTCTCCCTCTAAATTCACATTTTCATTTTTATACAGTACTCAAAATTTATATATGCAAAAAGATAATCCCAACTACTTTTTTGGAAACAGAAAGAAAATGTCAATACAGGGTTCAACTAATGAGACATATTTAACAAAGTAGATCTGTATTTATACATAAAGACAACATTTTAAAAGCTGAGTCTTTCCTATAAAAGTGAGAATGCATTAAAAGGGTTAAATTTATAGCTATTATTGTCAGGATTTGATTCTTAAGAATTTGATCTGAAATAAGATTTACAGGACCCCTACTCTATTGAAAGAAGGAGAACATACTGCAAATCTATTTATGAAACAAATTTCGGGAGCACAGAAGAACAGATGTTCCTAATTGCTTAGTTACTGTTAGTTGTCAGCTTAGGTATTCTGGCCAGAAAATTTTATAATACAGCAAAAGTAATTGCTGTACTGATAGGCCCAATTTAAATGATTGTAACTATGTTATTTGACTAATGAAAAGGAATAATTTTAATAAAAATGATAAAAAGTTAAACGGTAAATAGCTAATATGCTATTTAAATATCTCCTGCTCCTATGAAGAACAGTTTTGTTGGTTTTTTCCTTGCCTAAAATTGTTCTTCTGTCAGAATATGATCATGTTCTGTCTGAGACTGAAGTGGACAATGTATCATAGAATCATAGAACAACCTGAGTTGGAAGGCACCCACAGGGGTCATCAAAGCCCAACTCCTGTCCCTGAACAGGACACACCATATTCCTGAGGCTGTTATCCAAACCCTTCTGGAACTCTGTCAGGGCTGGTGCTGTGACCATTTCCCTGGGGAGCTTGTGCCAGTCTCCAGCCATCCACTGGGGAAAGAACCTTTTCCTGATATCCAACCTAAGCTTCCCCTGAGATGATTTCAGACCATTCCCTCAGCCTGTCACTGGTCACCACAGAGGAGAGATGAGTGCCTGCACCTGCTCTTCCTCTCCAGGCTGAACAGACCAAGTGATCTCAGTGACTGCTTGTATGGCTTCCTCTCAAGGCCCTTCATCAGGCTCATGGTCCTCCTTTGGAAACTCTTTAACAGCTTGATATCTTTTTTATATTGTGGCACCCAAAGCTGCCCCCAGCACTGGAGGTGAGGGTGCCCCAGCTCAGAGCAGAGCAGGACAATCCCCTCCCTTGCCCGGCTGGCCATTCTGTGCCTGATGTCCCCAGGACAGGGTTGGCCCTCCTGGCTGACAGGGCACTGCTGGCTCAGGTTCAACTTGATGTCAAACATAAGGCCCTTTCCACAGCTCTGCTCTCCATGATTGAATTCTCCAGCCTGTCTGCTCATCCAGAGTTGCCCTATCCCAGGTACAGAATCCAGCCATAGGAAAAGCCAGATGAAGGCGATACTAAACTGAGTTTGTTTTCAGTTTTTCAAATACATATGAACCACAGCAAAAGATATAATCTTAGGTTATTTATACCAAAAGTATTCTACATTTCTCAACAATTAGAATAAAAATAGCTGCTTACAGCAACTTAGAGGATCTGACCCTGGTTCCACAGTTAATTTAATCATGCTTCTGGCAACCTAACATGGTCAAGTGCAAACAGATGTTCCACGTTCAAAACTTGTGTTCAAAACTTGGACACATCAGTGTGGGTTCTGACCAAGCTAATTAGCTGTGGTGAGAAAAACTCAGTATTTTATTAAAGCCACATGTTTTTAATTCTTATATCAAGAATTTGAAAGAATAAACTGAATGTCATAGGCAGTGAACAAGGTGTAGTTAGGAGAACACTATTTGAATGAGTATCTATGAGAATATGATCCATGGCATTTCACTACCAGGAAAGGCAAATGTTGTGGGTCATATATGCAGCCACAGCTAAATACTTTTTCTCTTAAGTGTACCTACCTGTGTTTAGGATCTGAGCCCTCACCTAAGACATAACCCATCTGGAGCAAAACATGAGGATGTTCCATCTAATCATTAGATCATTAATTAATAAAATAAATTGTTTGTTATAATTTCTTTATATTTACTTTTGCTTTCTAATAATTGAGGATACTTCGAAGTGCATATGAAAGGGATATTTTGATAGCATGAAAATCATTGTTTTACCTTTTTGGTATATTTTATCTGTAAGTAACTAAGATATTTGATATTGATGGGCTAATTGTATACAGCTTTACTTTGGGGTATAAATCTTGATAAGCTTTGCCCCTTACTATCTTAGATAATCAGACTCATAAATTACAGAAATAAAAGGCTAGAAGGAATTAGCTTTCTTGTAGCAATCACTGATTGCCACCAACTCTTTAGCCTATTTGCTATTTATTTTTAAATTTTTAAAGATTTTTTGCTTTTTGCTTATTTGTTTTTAGATTTTTGCTGTTCCTTTTAGTGGATATTATAATATATGATGTTCAGCTGCAAATCATCTACCTGCTCAAATCCTGTCTCCAAACCTCTAGTTGTAGACTAATGAAGTTATTAGTGATTACTTTAATAACATATGGCTGATGAACACTACTGACAGAGCAGTACTGACTGTTTAAATACTGTTTAAATACAGAGAAAAACATTGGCAACTTCTGAAGGCAGTGCCCATAAACAGAAGAGCAGAGATATGAGTTCAGCACTGACAAATGAGTGGTGATGTAGGTGTAAATGTAAAGGAGAGTTTTAAAGAGGAATTTAAAGGGAAAAAGAAATTGGTTTTGTGAGTAGTTATGGAGACCCCAGGCTGGCCTTACTGTGCTAAATCAGTAAGAACTGATCCTCTAGGAGTAAATGAGATAAGAGGAAGGGTAAAGGCAATCATGGTCTTGATTTTATAGCTTTTATATAGTCATACAAGTAGCTACTTCTAATGAGATTAAAGAGGGAGAAGGTGGAAGGATACAGAGTTGCAAAAAGAACTGAGAAATGGACCAAGGAAATTATCTTTGAATTAGCATTTTGCTTCATTTGTTTTGATCAGCTCAAGCTGTTTGTTATAAAGAAAAGCCATTGAAATGATTAAAAAAGTTATTCTTAACCCAGCTGTGAGTTGATGCTATTTGTTGATAATAATTTTTAATAGGAATTTTGTTAATATTCCTACTGAAATCTCTGGAAATACTCTGACTGATACTCCTCAAAAAGGGGTTTCTCCAAAACAGTAAGACAGTATTAGCTTAATCACACTTCCTCTAAACCTCTTCCTAGGTAAACTATCCTTTCACATGATTAACCCTATAAAGGCGCATGAATGTAAAAAGAGACTGATAGAGCTTGAAAAGATTTTAAATATATCTTCTCACTTTAGACAGCATATGTAAGAATACCCCCCATGAAAATATAGGAAAGATAAAATGCACTTTCATATCTCATTTTTATAAACAATACTGAACAATGCACTAGTCAAGCTACCCTGAAAACAGTATTTCATACATATTATAAGACTTCTTAATAGAAACTTCCACTTCTACCTCTAATCTTACATCCCAGTGGCTTCGACAAGAGGACCTTTGTAGCAGGATTCTTCATTTCCAAATTCCCTTTCATCTATGCAATTTATTTTGTATATAAAATATTTTTTTTTCTGTCAACAGCTATTAGAAGCATCTCCTCAGATTCAAATTTCTCTTTTTTTATAACTTAGTTAGCCTTCCTGTCTTCCTAATAAACTCTCCTGTTGTTGTTTGAAGAAGTCAGTGCTTTTGGAGTTTTATTTTGTACTTTGTAAATGACTTTCTAAGAAAGTAGGCTGCCGTGTGAGGCACCTTCCTCAAACCATTTACTGAACCATAACTCCTCACTATGAATGCTAATAGCATTCAATCTCTCAAATATAGTAAAAGTAAAATCATCCACCCACTAAAAATACCAAAATTCATAATAGCCTATCTCTCACTGGCTAACTTTCTAGACAGCAGCAAGATCTTACAGGCTGAAGCAATTTTTTGCCCTTCCTCTAGAGATGTACTCTGAGTGACTTGGCATAATACATTGAATTTCCTCTAGAGATGTACTCTGAGTGACTTGGCATAATACATTGAATTTAGTCAGGTATTTCAAAGGCTGAGACAGGGAAAAAGAAACTTGAGTTTCCATTTGATTGGTGTTTTTGAAAAGCCACGTTCCCACAACCACTGAAGAAGGAAGAACTGTTACTTTTCTGCTGAGGTGCATTTCCTGTAACTTCCAGCTTTACTTTAGAAAAAAGAGTAGAAGAAAACTCAACATTACCCTATAATTTTTATTGAGGTTAGGAGTGACTAATTGCATAAATGCAGTAATGATGGGCATTACTATTGAGAAGCCATTATATTCATCTGAACACTGGTTTGAACTCACAAACCAGTTGCTACCTCTTGATCACAGTACTGCTGGTACCTTTAAGTAATAAATCTCACATCTAATCAGTTCACTTCTGTTTTCTGTATTGGGACTAACTAGCCTTATTTATGAGAGAATTTGCATTACATTTTCTTGATGCTAGAAAGTACACTTTTAAATCTGATCAGCAAGAGTCAGGATTTACCCCAAAACTTAGTTTAGATTCTTCTAGATACTTGCAGTCTCTCTGGTATCAATGAAGCTGCAGGCTGTAAAATAGCCTTGACATATTTTCTAATCATGGTTTATTTGCTTCCTGAATTTTTTGAAGGAGAAAAATTCCTGATATAACTTTTGGGAACCTGCTGCAACAAGTGTATGCCTATGACAGGTACATGATCAAAGGCATTATATTATCAATTGTCACTGCAGGGGTATTGCAAGAGATATCAATCACTCTGATCCCCATAGTTATCATTGCTTGAGGCATTTCAAAAGGACAAAATCTTGCAATTAGGTGATTTACATTTGGTATTAGAACCTGCTGTGTAAAAAGATAACAAAATGCTAGAAATCTCCTTTATTAATTTTGTGTTTCCATTATTTTCTTGTTGTTCTTTTATTATATACTGTTTTCTACTATTTCTATCTCGTCAAAAATAAATAAGGAGATAAAATTATATTCAAAGATAATTTCACAACATTTTAATATAATGAACTCTTTTAGATGCTAAATGTTCTAATGCCTGGTTCTTAAGTAATTACTATGATGAGACTCTGTGTTAATGAGACTCATTTGACAGATTAATTAAAAAAATATATTTCTTTGTTATATAATCCCCATTTCATCAGAGCTTGAATGCTGGCAGAAATGTAACCCTACAATGTACTATGAAGACTGAATATGAAAATGTTGCTAATAATTTGGTTGAAGTCCTTGCGTAAATTTCAGTTCACATCTTGTATACTGTTAGGAAATTTTTTAGCACATATTTCACACACCCTTGAAGCAAAAAGGAAAACACCCAGCAGAGCAGTTTAATGCAGACCTTCACTTAGCACTGTTAGCTGCCACAGAGTCCAAGCTGAAGTACTTTTTTCCCTGATACTTAAGTTTTCCCTAATGTTGCTTACAACTGAAAAAAATAGCTGGAATGCTTAAAAACATCACTTAATCAACAATTGATCAATATTTGTTTCATATACACTGTGTTGTTTCAACTTTTGGCTAAACTGAACAGAATGGAAGTGTGATTTTGTGGAATTCAGGATAAAAATAGCCAAATTTAACCAAATTTCAACTAACAATTGTAAAATCATAAAGGAGAAATTATATCTGGCTAATATGATAGACTTCTGTGATAAAATGACTGGTTTGATAGATGAAGGGAGATCACTAAATGTTGCTTATCTCAATTTTAGAGAGGTTTTTAAGACTACCCATTAACAAGCTCATAGAACCCCTTATAAAATACAGGCTAGGGAAATGGTTGGTAATGTGGGCTGAGAACTGACTGAACTGCTGGAATTATAGAATTGGTATCAACAACACAAAGTCCACGTGGAAGACAGTCACCAGTGATGTGCCTTAGGGATGAAAACTGGCACATATTGTGTTTAACACCTTCATTCACGACCTGGATGATGGAAGACTGATCTGTCAGCAGATTTGCAGCTGGCAAGAATTTGGGAGCAGTAGACATTACGCCAGTGGATCATGCTGCCATCCAGGTGGATTTGAGCAGTCTGGAGAAATGGGCCAGCAGGATTCCCATGAAGTTCAACAAGGGCAAGTGAAAAGTCCTGCACCTTAGGGTAGAAGGAGGAATAACCCCAGGCACCAGTGCAGATTGAGGCCAAGGAGATAGAAGGCAGCTCTACAGGGAAGGCATTTGGTGTCCTCGTGGGCAACAAGCAAACCAAGAGCCAGCAGTGTACGCCCTTGCAGAAAAGAATGTCAAAAGTACCTTGGACTGCATCAGAATAAGTGTTGTCATCAGGTCAAGGGAGATGATCCCTCTGCTCAGCGCTGGTAAGCCCATGAGTGGCTGGGTCTAGCACTGGGTTTCCCAGCACAAGAAATATATGGACTTACCAGAGTGAATCTGGTGCATCTTGCATGAAGATGAGTAAGGCATTGCAGCACCTGACAACCAAGACTGCTGGGAGTGGTCAGCCTGGGGAAGAGAAGGTTCAGGAGGATCTTATCCATGTGCACAGACCTGGGGGGAGGGAAAGAAGAGGCAGTCACCACTTCTCTCAGATGTGCCCTCTGAAAAGGCCAATTGGCACAGATGAAAACACATGAAATTCTATCCAAAGACAAGAAAACACTTTTGTTTTGTCCTGTGCAGGTGGTCAATCACTGGATCACGTGGCTCAGAGAGGCTATGGAGCCTCCAGCCTTGGAGGTACAGAAAACTGGAGTGGTCCTGGGAAACCTGCTGTGGACTGGGGGACTGACAAGATGATCTCCAGAAGTCTTTTCCAATCTCAGTCCTTCTGTGATTCTCTGATTCCGTATGTCAAACCATCTAGCTTGAGTTATTGTCAACATTGTTTCAAATTCTTTGAAAAATGTCTTCTAGCATTATGATAGACATGGGAGGATGTTTAAAACAAGAAAAATATTCTGGCAACAACCTTAATTTTCTTGCTTTTACTAACTGGTATTTTGTTGGTTTTTTGCTTTTCTCTATAATTTCCAGCTTGTGAGAAAAACTACAATACAGTGCATGTAGAGTACAGAAATTTACTATGGTTTCTTTTGACTCTGGCGTGCCTACAGAAATACTAGAAAAAGTGATTTAAAGGGATCTATTAGGACTAGATATTTCTGGTTTAAATGCTAAAATATAGACATATCTTTAGTTAAAGTTATTTATGGTTTCTTGTTTTGCAGGAAGGAATTCTTCAATCTGTTCTAGAAATATTTTGGATACATAAAACACTGATGCAAACCATGTAAGAGCTTATTTTGTCAATGTATAGTGAATTCAAAGATAGCATTGAAAAATGAAGGCTATTCATGTTTGTGTACAAATGTGAATTTGATTCATTACAAAAGCTAAGAAACCAAATAATACTTTCAATTTAATGCCTATAAATATTAATAAACATTTAAGATTACATTTTGCAGCACAACAAAGTTGCATCCAGGCTAGTGATGAAAAGTTCACTTTTCATTTAAAAGAACTACTGAGAAAAGTTAAAATGTAACTCAGACATAAAAAAAATAAAAATACTGGAGAATATATGATGTACTTGAAAGGTTAGTTTATGGCATAAGCAAACTACAGACACCTGCAAGATACCAACAAGCTTATAATTTGTGGAATCATATAACATAAACAAATAAGACAATTAGCAACATTTTTTGTTTTGCATATACAAAGAAACTTGTCATTAATTATCAATTACTAAGTCTTGCAATCAATGACAGCAAACATACAATAATACTGCTGTGAAATAATCAAAGCAAGTTTCTGCCATAGACCAAAAAGATCTTTCATGCATTCCTAAAATGCATTAAAACAGCAACTTCTTCACAGGAACAATAACATGCGTGCACTACGAATAAATTTACTCTTATATTTACTAATATTATTCTAAATTTCTTCTTGGCAAGATGCTGTGGAACAAAAGAATCTAGAAGAGATGTGAAACCATTCAGAAGTGAAACACAATTTTTCATGCTTTAGTTAAGTTTATTTATGTAGTTAAAATGCCACAATATGAATCATTGGTTTATAAGACACCTACTTTGATGGGTAAACAGCAGCTGAAGTCCCAACTGCTTCCAAAGTTAATCAGACTTTGAGTAGAGATTTTCCAATGGGTCTTTTCTCCTATTATCATAATTTATTTTCATGTATTTCTGTAAGAATATGCAAAATACAGAGAAGATATTAAGCTACAATATTTTTCAGGAAGTAATTTCTTTATAGTTCACTGACTTGAAAAAAAATCATATTCTAACTAAAAGCAAGTTAAAACATTTTATATATTATTTATATTTATACATATATATTATTTATCTAACATTTTAGTTAGCTATCCCATTTTTAATGCAGGAATTTGTGTTTTACTCAGCCATACCAGTGTACAGTAAAACTTGCTTTTCAGAAAGCCATGCAATGTTTTCTAATAATTTTTAACAACTCTCAAAAATGAACAGACTAGCGCTAGAGAGAGTATCTCAGCACCTCAGTAAGTATATATACAGATGTAAAATGCACTTTATTTATGCTGTGGTGGCATGCATGATAAAGACATATTTTCAATGGAAATGCACGGACAGACTAACAGGAGTTAGAGGGCAGAACGTAATTACCATAGCCCCAAACACACATTGGTGTATCCTGCTCCATTGGTGATATCATATGAATGCTGTACTTTTCTTTCTACCAAACTACCTCTAAAGAATACATAAACTATTTAATTTTACTTCAAAACAATTTAATCTGAAAATTAAATCTATATACACTACCTAATGCAGAGTCATAGACAACAAACTGAGGAACTATCTAGGTAGCCAGTCCTTTTTCCTGCAGTTCTTTGTTCCAAATTCACTGGTTTAGAGACTTTGATGGTTGTAGATCATCTGTGGGAACTAAGGACCTGAGTCTGCAGCACTACAACTACAGTGTTGTTTTGTGGTTGTCTGAATCATAAATTATACCTGGAGGTGTCACAGTTTCCTTTTAGAGCAAAAAGAGCACCATAACATCAAAAGTATCAAGACTTTGATGATTCTTCCCTTTCTTTCCCTCTTTGCTGCTTGTTTAGAAAAACTTACTGTCTTGTATCTTAGCTCTAGGAGCCTGCAAGAACTCAGATGATGAATAATTACACAGGGTTGTGTGGGGGAGGTGGTTCGGACTTGGTTGCCATATATGCTATGAAAATATCCTAAATTCACCAAAACATTGAGGTAGAATTGTCCAGTCCTTTTTCTTACACAAGGAGAGAAAAATATAGAAGCAATGTCTGAAGTTTGGTATTACTACAACACAAAATATGAAGCATACCTAAGGTCATTATGCACAAAGGAAAATCTCACATCTCCTGTGCAAAGGAGACTGAAATTAGAAGTTTAAAACAAACCAGCACCCTCTCAGTTGTGCTCTTGCAAGAACACAATTTTCTTCAGCTTTGCTATTCTGTTCAGCAACTTACAGTAGCTTTCCAGGTTTCTACCAACTCCACACAGTTCCTTCTGGGTATCCTGCTTTCTTTTTTTCTAGGTCTTAACTTTGGAAGTCTTCCTTCATAAAGGAGCAAAACTTCCTCCTCTCAGGAGCAAAACTTCTGTTTATCTTCATGCTTCATGCTCCCATTCTGTCTTTGGCTGCTTGCCCTATGCTGTTGTTCAAGGCCTTCTCTGCACTTATGCTGTGTTCAGCCTACCTCAGGAGAAGAACAAACTCCACTTCCCTGTTCCTTCCTAGAAGAGGTGGCACCAAAAAGCACAATCCCAGCCAGCTCTGGCAGCCTTTCTCTCCGCTGCTCAGCCGCAGTCTTGTTACAAAACACACAGTTTGCATTTATGTAACGCAGGGTTATGTCAGTTGTCACACACAGGCTGGAAGATTGTCACGGTGGGATCTAGTTTCAGACAGCCTGAAAATAAGAAGGGAGAGCACAGAAAGTAGATTCCAACTGATATTGCTAAAGATTAATATAAAATGTTTGCACAGACAAAAAGAAATACAGACAAAAAGAAGCACAGTCAAAAAGTCCAAGGTGCAAAATGAATGAGACATAGGGATCAGTTGTGACTCAGAGACGAAGCCTTGTTTCTGAGGCAGGACAGAGAACTATTATCTTGATTTGATCATGTGCTTTATGTTCTCATTTTTTGTTTGTTTTGTTTTTTGTTTTTTTTTTTTTTACTTTAAAAGTCAGTTGTAGTCAGCCGATTGGTAGAGGTTCAGCAGTAGAGACAAAAATGGGTTTACACTGCTTCAGTAAGGGAAGAATGGATTACAAAATAGCTGCATGAGTTGCAAATATTTTGAAGACCTAACGAAATCATCCAAATGTATCTAATAAAAGCAAGGAACTAGTCATTGCTAGGCTAGCCCATTTAATTTCATCTCCAAAACAAACAATATGCTGAAACAAAAAGGCAAATATTTTGTAAGCAAATAAAACATAATAAGAAGTTAAGTAACAATCAAGATATACTTCTCCAAATAAGTTATTTAAAAAAAAAATAAAAAATAATGTTCTTCTATTTGGTAGATATCCAATTTTTTAATTTTTTTTTTCTTTTGCAAGAGGGGAATTGGCAGATATTTTGTGTCTTGCCCACTTATTCTTAAAATGCAGACCCATGACGAAGCAAAGGAAATGGCAACTGGATGAGGCAACTGCACAGCTCATCGGAAATACATATCTAGAGGAACAGTCATTCATGTTCCACACTCAGACAGGCAGCTAAATAAAGGAGGTTTCTGTGGGAATCTCTCCTGCACCTGTGAGTGTTTGACACTTCTGTAAGTGACTTGGAGGAATGGCTGCGTACATTTTTGAGGCAAATTTAGAATTCAAGATCGTCCTGGCAAATGAGAGAATCGGTCTGATAAAAACGTGCTGCAGTTCAATAGGATAAGTGAAAAATCTGTCTTTACAGAGAAATGTTTGTCTGTACAGATATGGCACGGGCAGAGATACACCAATACTTGAGAGCAATATGTACAGTTATAGTAAATCAGATGATGAAAATTAAGTACATCTCTCACATTATTATTAAAAAGGACAAAAGCCATACATTACAAATGAATCAAAGTGTTTTCTGTTAAATGAATGAAATAGATCTGTGCTATCTGGTGCAGTGTGATCAAAGTTTATAAAAAAGATCTGCATTGAGTTCTTGAAACAAAATGGTATATTTACTCCAGAGGAAAATAAGTAGAAGGAAGCAGTAAAAAAATAAATAAAACCAAAATTGTTTGTTTGTTTTTATATAAACTACAACAAAAATAGACATCAAAAATAGTCTCCAATAGTAAAAATAGAGTGAGGTGCAGGAAAGTTCACCTCAGGTTATTCATTTTCCATGGTTGCAAGATATTACAGAAATGTTGGGCAAATGTTTGGCATAGCTGTTTTTATCTCTGGCTGTGGAAGAAGACTTGTGAGAAGGTGAGGAATAATTAGAGAACTGCTCTGCTTTCTTTTCCCTACCACTCCAGCAATAAAAACATGGGCTGGGAAAAACTATTTGTAAATATTGTGGCTTTTCACCAATCGAGTCCTTTTTGTGCAATGTTTCAAATATTTCACACACACTCACACCCTCCCCTTGAGTGTATTTTGAAGTAGTATGCAAACTTAATTTGAAGATTGAAAGGGGAAGAAGCTTGCTAAGTACAGACCATCACCTACTATTTGTAAGGGTTTATATACATGTAGATTTTAATGCCTAATTACAAATTTGTGACAATTGATTCTTGCTCTCAGAGCTCTGAGTTGAACACTTAAAGGACATTTCAAGATAAACATGGACTAAATGGGAAATGAGTCTCAAAAGACTTTTGGAATCCAGCTAAACACTCTAGCAAATTGATGTTGAACAAGCAGGAAATTTTTATATTTTTTACTTCAATGTATTTTTTAATATCAATATTTTTTGGCTGTTACAACCCCAATTGTCTTTAACACAAATTATATCCAGTTTATTAAATTTTTAAGTAGTTAACTGTTAAGTCAACTGCAAATGGTCAACCAAAAAAATGCAAATATTTTGGGTTTGATTCAGTATCTCATGTCCTTTAAGCTGAACATAAAACATCTAGCAATTAAAAAGGTGTAACAACTTTACAGGGGGAAACTAATCAATATATATTAAAAAGATTTTAGATAACAAGTTTTTCAACATCATAAGGAAAATCAGAGTTGTATTGCTATTTGTCATACATTCGGGCCTGGTTTTGCTCTCTTCCATGTATGAGTTTTAGTTATTCTAATAAATCCCTTTGAAATAAAAATATGTTTTCTGTTCAACAGTGACTCAAATTTCAGCAAGCTTCCCGTTTTATAGTCTCACTTTGAAGCCTTTCACAGCCTATTAACTTGTTATTATTATTTATTTTTTAAAAATAATTTTACTGGAAAATATCATTAATTAAGCCAATAGGGCATAAGTATCTTTCTTATTCCTAATTGTATCATACATGTCTCTAGGGAATATCTTTTGATCTCATCTTTCTTTAAAAAGATTCAGTTTCATTCTAAAAATTCCCTCATGTACTAATGATTAAACTAACTTCTCTAGGGTGCAATAAGAACTGAAAAAGTGATATTTAGCATAAATTTTATAGAACAGTCTCTTGTAACAGCAGGAAAGCAATAAAAGAACATTGCGTATGAAATATTCCATGTACCATTCTTCTACTTAAAAGCACACATGGGGATTGTTAAATAATAATATATTATTAGGTGTTCATCATACTGAATTCTCAATAGAGACAATTACCCTTTTGTTTCCATCAGAAAGCAAATTATTCTTTGTGGTGATGAGTCTTGTGCCTTAGTTATATTCCCATGTCTGATAAAATTTTTGAATAATTCAGTTTGCAGCAGAAGTTAGGAAGAATAGAAGTATTTTTTGCATGACACTACAGTCACTTATTGGGAAGCAAAAATTTCCTGACCTGTTTTACTGACAGTAGTCAAAATGGCCAACACAAACAGCTTTATATCATCTCATGCCTTACTTTTCTATTGTCTTCAATCTCTTCACCTTGTTTTTCACACAAATATTTTTGATCAAGCCCTGTTGTGTTTCTTGAAAATACAACTACGTTGAGATTTAATTTGACAGTGTTGTTGAATATCCTTCAATATCCTTCAATAAG